TCTGTTAGTCGCTTCTTAAGACAATCAAGAATTGTTTTATTAGAAGCCTCCGCTTGTCCGTTTCCTTGTGGATAGCAAGGTGTTGAGTAATTTATGCATATTCCCCAACCCTCACAAAAATTTTGGAAAATTGACGAGGTAAACGGCATGCCATTATCCGTGACGATCTCATATGGGAGGCCGTGCCGACATATGATATTTTCCCATACGAAAAGTTGGACGTCGATTGCCTTAATGCTGGGGTATGCTTTAGCTTCAACCCACTTTGTAAAGTAGTCCGTCATCACCAGAATGTGTTGGTTGCGACCTGACTTAGGCATCGGGCCGATTGCATCATTGACCACCTCATGAAGGGGTACGGTGGAACGGCGGTTTGAAGGAGCTCAGTAGGTGCATTGATGATAAGCGCGTGTTTCTGACACGGTTCGCACCGTAGTACGAATTGTTCGCAATATTGGATCATTTTAGGCCAGAATAACACATGCTTCTTTATCTTCAAGGCTAATGCTCTTCCTCTATAATGGTTGCCGCTTGCTCATTCGTGAGTTTCGACCATTACTTTCTTTGCCTGTGCTTCGTCGCAGCACCATAGTATCACTTTGTTTGCTGTCTATCTTGCGGGACCGTTCCTTCGGATAGGTAGGATTTAATTTCATCTTACCAAGGTTGCTTTTGTTGTTCGGCATCTACTTCCATTGGGTCGTCCGCTTCATCTTCTTGGTGAAGAACCATGTTGCAAGCTCCTTTGGATAGCAGGATGCTAGGTTGCTCGATGATTTCCACTGGAATTGTTTGGCGAAGTGTAGGGTCCGTTGTTGATGCCAATGCTGCCAGCGCGTTGGCGACAGTGTTCTCAGTTCGCAGGATTTTAGTTAGTTCGAAGGAGTCGAATTGCCTTGTTATTTCCTGGACCTGCTTTAGGTAAGCGTCCATTCGCTCGTTCTTCACGTCGTAGTCTCCTTTGAACTAGCTAGCGACAAGCTGGGAATCACAAAAGGCATGAATATTTTTTGCTCCTACTTCTTTGGCGAGCCGAATCCCTGTGAGCAAAGCTTCGTATTCGGCTTCGTTATTCGGGGCAGGGAAGCCGAGCTTGAATGATTGTTCCAGGACTTCTCCTGTTGGTGATTTCAAACAAATGCCGACTCCCGACCCTTGCTTTGAGGATGCACCGTTGACGTATAAATTTCAGCAGTTTTTGGTAGGTGACTCATCATTTAGTAGATCCGGTGGTATTTTGATCATGAAGTCTGCTAAGACTTGAGATTTGGCACTAGTTCGAGCGCGGTACTCGATATCATATTCGGACAGTTCTATCGCCCATTTAGCCATTCTGCCGGATTGACTCGGGCTGTGCAGAATGCTCCGAAGTGGTTGACTGGTGAAGACGACAATAGTGTGAGACTGGAAGTAAGGTCGCAATTTCCATGCCGAGATGATTACTGTATAGGCGAGTTTTTCTATAGCCGGATAGCGAGTTTCGGCTCCATCTAGAGTCTTGCTTATGTAGAAGATTGGTTTTTGCTCGCCACGATCTTCCCTGACAAGGACGCCGCTTACTGCTGCTGTCGAAACTGCGATGTAAAGGTACAGAGTCTCGCCATCCTCCGGTTTAGCTAATATCGGCGGGGTGGTCAGGTACTTCTTCAACTGTGTGAACGCCTCTTCGCACTTGTCGTCCCAGTCAAAGCGTTTATTGCTCCGAAGTAATTGGTAAAAAGGGAGACATTTATCAGTCGAACGCGAGATGAATCTGTTTAGCGTGGCAATTCTCCCAGTTAGTCGTTGTACTTTACGCGTATTTTTGGGCGATGGGAGATCCAGTATTGCTGAAATTTGTTTTGGATTTGCTTATATTTCCCTTTGGGTAACAACGTAACCTAGGAATTCTCCTGAAGTCACTTCGAATGTGTATTTGGCAGGATTTAATTTCATTCCATATTTCTCGAGGGTTTTGAAGCAATCTTTGAGGCGGCCGACGTGATCTTTAGCGACTGCGGATTTTACTAGCATATCGTCGATGTAAACCTCCATATTGCGGCCGAGCTGACTAGCAAACATTTTGTTGACCAACCGTTGATATGTGGCTCCTGCATTTTTTAGTCCAAAAGGCATGACTTTGTAACAATATATTCCGCGATCGATGATGAATACCGTCTTCTCTCTATCGTCGGAGTGCATAAAGATCTGATTGTACCCGGAGAAGACGTCCATAAAGGACAACAGCTGATTCCCGGCTGTTGACTCGACCAGTCGGTCGATGTGAGGGAGTGGAAAGCAATCCTTTGGGCAAGCTTTATTGAGATCGGTGAAGTCAACGCAGAATCTCCATTTACCGCTCTTCTTTTTAATGACCACAGGGTTGGCTAGCCAGTCGGGATATTGAACCTCGGTAATCAATCCAGCTCTGAGCAGTTTTTCCACTTTGTCGATTACTGCTTGTGCTTTTTCGGGGCCGAGCTTTCTTCATATTTATTTATTTGGCTTGAACTTAGGGTCTACGTTTAGTTTATGCAATGTGATTCTGGTGTCGATTCCCTTCATGTCCTCCATAGACCAGGTGAATAAGTGCATGTGGTCCCGTAAAAGTTTGACGAGCTCCGTTTTTATATCTTCTGCGAGATCGCCGCCAATGCTAACGATTTTTCCGAGTGTTGCTTGTCAATGCTTACCTGTATAACCCGCTCGGGCTTCGGTCTTTTGTGGAAGGGAAGGCGTGAATCTGTCTTTGTTTACCGTGTATGTAGTCGCCGTTCTGATTTTCCTTTCGCTGAGGAGGCATATTTGTGCTGTTGATTTATCGCCCTGCAGTGTGAACGTGCCGGTAGGTGTCGGGAACTCGATGCATTGATGGTATGTTGAGATGACGACTTTCATGCTGTGGATCCAAGGGGTCCCAAGTATGACGTTGTAGATAGTGAGGCAGTCGATGACCGCAAATTTTGTCTTTTTGGTTACGCCGCCAATGTAGGTGAGTAGATGTATCGAACCGATACTGTAGGAGGTATCGCCTGCAAATCCTGTTAGCAGTTTTGTCGTTATTGTTATCTTGCTTTCATTGATGCTCATCCTTGCCAATGTGTCCTTGAAGATAATATTTACGGTGCTCCCGCTGTCAACCAAAACTTTGACGACCGTGCTTTCATGAATTTGTAAAGTTATGACCAGTGGGTCGACATGTGGCGTGTGCGAACTGCGTAGATCCTTTGCTGTGAAATTCACTGGTGCTTCGTTCTTCGGGGTGATTGGACGCATTTTGCTTCTGCCACTTTTTCTTCGTGACGCCTTATTTCCTTGAGCGAACTGGGATTGTCGAATACCCCTCCTAAGTTAATGTAGGAATTGTCGAGACCAGATGTCTCCGTATGCGCGGTGGTGTCCTCGTTGTTGAGGGTGAGGTCGCTTTGATCGGAAGGCTCATCGCTTCGGCTTTTTAGTCGCTAGTTTTAAGAATTTTATTCTCCTAGTCCCCACAGACGGCGCCAACTGTTGAACCAGAAAATCGCCACTACGGATTTGATTAACAGTTGTGGGTTTCAGAGAATAAGATCTTTTATTAATAGCTGTTAAACGAAGCGATTACAAGAGATGGCTTAACCGAGAGGTTATGCCGAGATGAAAAGATAGTGTTTGCAAAGTAAACTAGAAAGTGTTAGAGTTCTTGGTTTTAGCTTTGCTGCTATCTAGATTGTATCTGTTGTTCTCTTCAGCTTTGCGGTCTTCTTATTTATAGGGATAAGAGGTCGGTTGGTCCGAACTCCTTTTCCTTTTTCCCTTTTGTGAATATTTTCATATTCGTGATATAGAAATATCTCTTATTCTCCGAAGAATATGAGAATTCTCATTTATCCTTTGCGTTGATCTGATGCTTCCGGATTCCAAGATTATCCTTTAAAAGATTTCCTTTTTGCCGAGCTAGGTCGGCATAATCTCTTTGGTCTTAGTGGGCTTAGATTATTGCTAGAGAAAACCTTTTAGGAAATGTGCTCATTTCCCCTCTTACAACGTCAAAATTATTTAGGGTGCTATTCGATACTCTAACAGTTTTACGAATGGGCCTATTTTTCAAACATTGTGACTAATTGTTTTCGGGTTAGATAGAAGTTGAGAGAAAATAAGGAATGAACTTTGTAAGGAGCTTGTTGGTTTTCAATTTCTTGTAACTTCTATTATCTAGTAGATTCCAGGAAAGATTTTGATGAGACGTAACGACTCTATTCAACGAGCATGAACTCGTTAAACCGTGTATGTGTTCTGTTTTTCCTCTGCTTCGGTTCTTGTGTTTTACCACTTTCAAGCTTTAGTTTCAAATCTATTACTTTTGTTGTGTGATGAACCAGATTATGGTTAAAAAAATGAACCAGATTATCTACATTAACAAAGTTGTACTATCCAGATAGGATGTCACCAAGATACGAATGAAACACATGATTCTTTTTTTCCCTTCGTGTAACATAAAACACTCGCATTTGGTGCATCAAAAAATATTAAATTTTTATTATTACATATCACATATCCAATTTTTTCACATATCCAATTTACATGGGTGATATGGCATATATAACACAAACCAAATTATAGAATCGACACAATCTGTTATTAAATTTAAAATATAGAATGGAGAGGTTTCATTAATAGAAAGTATATTAACTGAAAGAGGACAAGCTGAAACGAAAAAGATACAAGTTTCAGAGTTTTAAGATTGCATTTGATGCAAGAGATTTAAAAACTTTTTGAGTACCAATACAACCAAAATGAACAAGGTTTCTAAGAAGATCAACGAAGATTACGAGAGCCGACATATTTGAGGAACCCGAACCAAAACTACTTAGCATTGGTGAAAGGATAGTGTGTATTTGTAACAACTTTTATTTTTCACCAACACCGTAGAAGGATGAATGCTACTGTAGAGTAAGAAGCACCCCGCTAATCTAAAATCATACATAACACTTCATCCAAAACTCAACAATACATACCAAAAAGCGTGAACGCAGAAGCTCTCACAGCAGATATTTCTCGACAACAGTCCGTCCAAACTTCTCTTGAACATCCTTTGGCGTTTCAACCTGACAAAAATAAAATGAGATTAGTTCAGAATATGAGGTTTAAGTAGACTCCCCTGATTTTTCTGTCCATGAGCCTGAAATTTTAACCACTCACCGCATTCAACGCCTTCAAAACTGCCTTAACGGTGTTGTATGAATTCCTTGAACCAATTACCTGAAGAATTTGGACCACAACTACACTTTATGAAACCAAAACTGAATGGAAAACAAGAATCGGTGTTATATCAGGACGACACACAAATGCACCTTTGATTTGATGTTCTTGAATCCTGCTAGAAGCAAGATTGTTTTGACAACTCTCCCAGCTTTCATTCCAGTCGTTGTTGGTGCAGGCCATAGGTATAACTAGTTGCAGATTCAAGTTTATTAAGAACAATATATATTACAGATAAGTCGCCTGAATATCATACGGTCATAAATGAACTAAAATATATACCTTGGTTTTCTTGTAAGAAGTCTGTATCGCGTGTGCAATGGTGTGCTCCTCATGACGCTCTACGTAATGAAGATTCTGAAAGCATTTCTCATACGCCTGTTTTGCAGTTGTTAGAAATGAGACCATGAGAACTATAACTAAATCCAGAGAGACAAAGACATATAATTGATAAAAATGGAATACCACAAGTTTTAAATTATATATTCATTGAGCAGTTCAACAATCAAATTTATAAAGACATTCATGCAGAAACCAATACCAAACAGTCTTGTGAATTTAAATTGATCATAAACTTTTCATTAGTATCATAATTTGGAGAACAGCATCATGGTAGTAAAATAAAGACTCGTATGCAGAAAAGAACATGTAAATTTTCACAAGAAGAGGCATACTATGTACTGTCATCTTGACCTGATATAATGGTGTTTAAGATTTCTAGGCCAAGAAAAGCTTAGTAGTAGTAAAATTTCACAAGAGGAGGCATACCAGCTACTGTCATGATTTCTAGGCCAATAAAAGCTGAGTACTAGTAAATTAAATTTCCATTGACATAGAACTCAAGCTTTTAGAATGTCTCATATCCTCAACGCTTAGCAGTACAAACAAAACAAACTAGGTTTTCATAGTATCAGAATTACTTAATTGACTATCTCTGCTACAACAAGATCCTGCCATAAGTCACAAATCTACAAGACCTGTAGTATCCATCTTAGTAAGACACCACTTATTTGTCTCTAAACAATCCTACATGATAAATGGTAATTTGAGATTACCTTCTGCATTGCAGACTGGCCAGTCTCAGCTTTTGCTTTTGCATACCCAATGACACCTTCATAGTTCCCGCAAACCATCAATGCAGTGTACCTTTCAACTCTGCCACCCTAAAAAAAAAGTCTTTCTTTTATAGCCGAATGATTGAATTAAAGATACAGGAGATAGAAATGTCAGAGAACTATACCTTTGTGACCTTAGCCACTTTTTTTACATCTATCACATGCACATCATATCCCTGCAAGAAAATAGGAAACAACCTGATCAGTATTAAGGATAAAATGAATAATTTAGCTTCGATAACAGATTGAGAGAAAAGATGTATGCCAGTATCCAGTTATCCATTATCGTTCAAGAAAAGAAAACTTCACAGCGTTACAAAAATAATAGAGAATATCATGACGCTTAACTTAAATATAAAAGAAAACTGATGTAGCTATAAGACCGCTGGCCTTCTTAAAAAGTCATATGCATCTGACAACATCAAAGCGTATAGATTAAGGTAGAAAATTACCTAGTTTTTGCTATAAATTAATAGGACGTACGGTTAAATTTACTAGAAAATTAAGGTAGCAGCATCTTAAATGCAAACACATAGATATGCCACATTGTCTACTAGCATAGAAAGCATTTTAAAGCAACGCCAAGAATGTTATTTAAGGCTATGCGATTCATTAGAAGAGTGGGTATAGCACAACAGCTACATTGGTATTCAAAAAAAATTATACATCAAGGGGCCTCAGCCCTCTAACAAACTCTATTGCTAAGCAAGGCTGAAAATCATCTGGCGTACTGAGACTGCTCCTGTATCTAATTCGTTAGAAAGCTAATTCGTTAACTGTACCTCTCGCATCTCTATTTCAAAGTTCAAACTACTTGACACTTTAACTTAGTCACAATTTCATGACAAGCTTTAAACGATTTGGTTCTTTAGTTTCTGCACCGCAAAATAAAATTTGCGCAACTGAAAGATATGAATAAATGGAGAATCCACTAACTTTTCTGTATAAAGGTTGTCTTTTCTTCTCTGTCAGAGCATTTCTCTCTTCAGCCAGATCTCTAATCTCCTCTTCCAACCGCTTTCCCTTCTTCCCGAATGTATGATCAAGCTCAGAGAGCTTATTCTCAAGCTTCTTGTCGATGGCATTCAGCTTCTCTAACAGAATATCATCCCTTTCTTTCATGTCATCAAACTCCTCTTCATCATCAGTATCATCATTGTCGTCCTTAGACCCATCTGCCACAAGACGCTCTTCTTTTTCTTCTCCAGCATTACCACCTTGAACATTGTCTCGTTCGATGACTCCATAATTGGCTGGGTTGTTTGGGTCAAAAGCCTCTTTCCACTCAACCAACCTCATAGCTCTGTTTATTTTCTGCTGGAGAATAAACTTCTCTTTACCTTCAGCTACCTTCAAACGGTTCATCAGCTCACCAATAACCCTGTACTCAGGTCGAAGTTTGAAATGTTTCTCCTCAAATTTGTCTAATTTGTTCATCCACCTATAGGCCTCATCGAGTGTCTCTGTCAAGCAATTATACAACTTCGCATCAAGAGTTTGGCTACAAATATGTAATGGCTGATGCATATACACACAGGCCTGAGAAGAGAAGTACAAGATGAGAAGAGAAGAAGAGAAAAAAAAATGGCATACCTGAGTTTGTAAGGGTCTGGAGAACTTCTTTATGCCTCTGGAACTTCTTCTTGAAGATGTCTTCCTTTTTTCTTTCTTCATCCCAATCAACTTCGTCAAGTTCACTATCTGAATCAGAAGACTCCTCGCGCCTATTTAATTCACCATCATCCTTCAAATTCTGCTTCTTAAGCTTCTCGATAAACGGCTCAATCCCCAGATAATCCTCGTTTTCTTCGTCGTCAATGTCTTTGCAATCCAATCCTTGCATTTGCCTCTCATCTCTCTCACGATGCTTCTCCTTCTCCACCTCAGATAAAAGCTCTCGCACGACTTTCTCGGCTTCCGAAGGTGACATTGAGCTTACGGAGGAGAATTGGTGCATCTGCGATGCGATCCATGGCCTCTGATTTACAGGAAAGCAGGAATCCTGGTTTCTGCTGGATGAGGCATGGAGACTGCAGATTTGACGGGAAAATGAGGATCTAGGGTTGTGAGGATGGTTCCGGTGAAGGAATAGACGGGGCCAGGACGACGCGCGGGTTCTGAAGGACATCGTTCAGTGGTTCATCAGATGGATATGGAAGAGAAAAAGGGATGAAATTCAAAAACCTCTCAGAGGAAGATGATTTTTAGGGTTTTTGTGTGTTTGAGTGACACAGTCTTACCAGGGCCTTCTTCACTCATGGGCCCAATCTTGTAAATGATGTTATAAAATAAAAGTATAATAATATTGTGAAAGAAAATTTACTATATAACTAAGAGATAATTATTAAATAAGGCATTTTCTATCCCCTAATATATTAATTGATAAAAAATTTTAGAGATTAACTTTATTTTTATAAATAATTATAGTGGTGTCATTTTGCAGATGTATCATTTTCATAAAAAATTTCAAAAAAAAATTTTAAAAAAAACTTTTGTTACTAGAATAATTACATCATATGTCACTCATATTAATTATTTTAATCATAATTTATATTAATTATATATATAATTTAGCATTTAATTATAAAGATATTCTTTTCTTTCTATTTTTTACCAAAAATAACATCATATTAATTATTTCTTTACATAATATTTTTTCTCTTGTCTTTATTTAAATTTATTTTATAAAAACAAAAATTATCACATCATTTACATAATAAAAAAATATATAGATTTTTTTGTACATATTTTATAAGTTAAAATTTTAAAAAAAAATAAAAATTACTCAAATAATAGATAAATAAAATATATTTTAAAAGTCACATATAAATATACATAAATATTTTTATAACCATAAATATTTTAAAGGTTCAAATATTTTTTATAAACATAAATATTTTTTATAAACATAAATATTTTAAATATTTTTTATATACATAAATGTTTTAAAAAAAAAAATAGTAAAAGCACAAAACTTGATTTAACAGACATCAAAACTTGATTTTGTTTTTTTCATGGAACCATATAAATTAACCAAATAATATAAATATTAAAAAGTTAGAAAAATATATTATAACAAATAGTTGAAAACAAATTAATGTGTTGAAAACTATAATATTATAAATAATTACATAAGATTAAAAGATATATATTATAAATTTTTAGTTTAATCAATAAAATAAAAAGATGCACAAATTAAAATACAATTTTGTTAAAATTATATTATAATTTGATCAATTTTTTGTTATGTTATACATATTTTTATTGGACCAATAAGTTAAAAATTATAAATTGACTTAATTGATCAATAATATTAAACTTAAAAAATCTATAATCTATTTTGTATTATTTATAAATGTATATATTTAATATTTTATAATCGTAGTTCTTATGGATTACACTATATATGTATTTACATTCATATAAAATAATAATAAAATTAATTATAAAAATTATAAACAAATATTTGTGTTACTCATATCTATTAGATACACAAAAAAATAATTAATTTTTTATTTGTTTTAAATAATTTAAAATCATAATTACTAAAATTATTTATAGATTTCTTATCATGCACATAGCACAAGTTATTACCTAGTCTATAATGGTTATTACCTAGTCTATAATATTATTTGAAAAGATTTTATAGTTAAAAAAAATTAATGTGTCAAAAAAAAGAAGAAAAGTTAGTGCATTCTAATGATTATATTAAAATGTGACATGACAAATTTTTAAAAGTAAATGAAATATTTTGATTAATTGAGTTAAAATTAAATAAATTTTAAATCAAAACATAAATATACTAGAGCATTTCCATCAGTTTAGATACTGAGAAGAGTATCTTAACAATAAATTATTACTATTTTGATAAATACATAATTTCAAATTTTTATAATAAAAATTAAAACCATTAAACAAGTGATATGTATTTAATATATATATATATTTATAAATAATACAAAATAGATTATAAATTTTTATAATAAAAATTAAAACCATTAAACCAGGAGGATGACGCTCGTCACCCAAATCGAGTAAATCATCACGACTTTTCCAAGACGAGTGACGCTCGTCACCAACCTGGTGACGCTCGTCACCCGTTGCAACATACTACAGTTTCGACTGAGACTTTAAATAATGCTAAGGAGACAGTGTATAAGTCCAAGATACCTTATCCTAAGCATCCTAAGAAGTCTAAACAAGAGCTTGCAGATGCTAAATGCAAAGCTATCATGGACAAGTTTGTTATTGAGATCCCATTGATTGATGATGTGAGGATCACTCCTGTTATAAAGAGGTATGTGAAGAGAATGGTGACCAATAACTTGAGTTTATAGGCTGGAGCTATGATGATCAACGAGCAGGTCAGTGCAGTGATTTAGAACAGAGTGCCATAGAAGCTTTCAGACCCTGGGAGCTTTGTTTTAGAATGCACAATCTTTTCTGTCAGGTTTGAGAGATCATTGTGTGATCTTGGTTCTAGTGTGAACCTTATGCCTCATTCTGTTGCCAAGAGCTTAGGCATGACCGATTTTAAGGCTACAAAGATATCTCTTGTCCTAGCTGATAGATCAGTCAGAGTTCCTGAAGGTGTGATAGAGGATGTACCTATCAAAGTAGGAGATTGCATGATTCCTACTGATTTTGTCGTACTGTAATATGGAGAAGAACCCAAAGACCTTTTGATTCTTGGCAGACCCTTCCTGGCTACTGCAGGAGCTATCATTGACGTCAGGAAGGGTAGAATAGAGCTGAATGTTGGTGACTTGGTGATGCAATTCAAAATGGACAAGCTGATGAAGAGGCCAACCATAGATGAAAAGACTTTTTATGTGGATGTTCTCACCAACATTGCTGATCAGATCTTCCATGAGATGAGATGAAAAGACCCCTTGGAGAGGGCGTTGGCCACTTCTACAGCAGAGTATGAACATTTGGATGCTGCTGCAACAGGCTACACAAAGATGATGGATGCTACTGCACATGTGATGGAACTGGTTGCACAGGATGAGCTTGTCACCACATCTGCGAAAGCTGCTACAATGGACGATTGGAGTGCAGCAAAAGCACCAAAACTTGAGCTTAAACAGCTCCCTGCAGGGCTAAGATACGCCTTCCTTGGAGAAAACTCCACTTATCCTGTTATTGTTAATGCTTCATTGAACAATGCAGAGCTCACCCTTTTGCTAAGTAAGCTGCGCAGATTTCGCAAAGCTCTTGGCTATTCTCTTGATGGTATTTCAGAGATCTCTCCAGACTTGTGCATGCATAGGACACACCTGGAGGATGAATCGAAATCATCAGTAGAGCACCAGAGGAGACTGAATCCGAACCTGCAGGATGTGGTCAAGAAGGAGATCATGAAGCTGCTGCAAGCTGGGATCATTTATCCAATATCAGACAGTGCTAGGTTGAGTCCAGTGCACGTGGTCCCTAAGAGTTACAGTGGTGAGGAATGACAAGGATGAGCTGATTCCAACCAGAACTGTGACAGGACACAGGATGTGCATCGATTACAGGAAGCTGAGTGCAGCCACAAGGAAAGATCACTTCCCTCTGCCTTTCATCGATCAGATGCTGGAGAGGTTGGCGAATCACAAGTACTACTGCTTTCTTGATGGCTACTTAGGCTTCTTTCAGATCCCCATCCATCCAGATGATCAGGAGAAGACCACGTTTACCTGTCCTTATGGCACTTTTGCATATTGCAGAATGCCTTTTGGACTGTGTAATGCTCCTGCAACCTTCCAGAGATGCATGATGTCGATCTTCACGGACATGATTGAGAGGTTTATGGAGGTTTTCATGGATGACTTCTCAGTTTATGCGTCTTCTTCAAGAGCTGCTTGGACAACTTGTGTGTAGTTCTGTAGATATGTAAAGAGAAGCACTTGGTTCTGAACTGGGAGAAGTGACATTTTATGGTACAAGATGGCATTGTTCTTGGTCACAGGGTCTCAGGAGACGGCATAGAGGTGGATAGGGCGAAAATTGAAGTGATGACAAGTCTGCAGGCACCTGATTCAGTCAAAGCAGTGAGGAGTTTTCTGGGTCACGCTGGGATCTACAGAAAATTCATCAAGGATTTCAGCAAGATTGCAAGACCTCTTACTGCTCTCCTCTGCAAAGATGTGAAGTTTGAGTTCACGGAAGAGTGCAAGTCTTCTTTTGAACAGATCAAACAGGCTTTGGTTACAGCTCTTGTTGTGTAGCCTACAGATTGGGACTTGCCTTTTGAAGTGATGTGTGATGCCAACGATTTTGTAGTTGGAGCAGTGCTGGGACAGAGGAAAGACAAGAAGCTCCACGCCATCTACTATGCAAGTAGGACTTTGGATGATGCTCAGAATAACTATGCAACAACTGAGAAAGAACTGTTGGTTGTTGTCTTTGCATTTAAAAAATCAGGCAGTATCTTGTTGGGTCCAAGGTCATGGTCCATACTGACCATTCAGCACTGAAGTATCTGATGCAGAAGAAGGATGCAAAGCCAAGGTTGTTGAGATGGATTCTACTTCTTCAAGATTTTGACATTGAAGTGAATGACAAGAAAGGTGTTGAGAATGGAGTTGCTGATCATCTATCCAGGATTCAGGTTGAAGATAGTGTCCCAATAAATGATTTCTTGCCTGAAGAGAATGTGTACTTGGTTGAAGCCAGATTGCAGAAAGAAAGTGTTGAAAACCTGCAGTTTTCACGAAACTGCAGGGGAGTGACGAACGACACAAGGGGGTGACGCTCGTCACCAACAGAGGAGAATCGCGACCAAGTTTTTGTACGAAGAAGTTAACGCTCGTCACCAGTCTCTGACTTTGGCTGCGATTTGTGCAAGCTTGGGGACAGCTTTTAAAGAGCAAGTTTATGCTTTGGATGATCCAAAGAGGCCATGGTATGCTGATATTGCCAATTATCTTGCTGCAGAGGATGAACCACATGATTCAAAGGTTATGCCAAGAAGAAGTTCTTGAGAGAACTTAGGAGATACTATTGGGATGAGCCATATCTCTACAAACATTGTGCTGATGGAATTTACAGGAGATGCATAGCAGAAGAAGAAGTGCAGGACGTCCTGTTTCATTGTCATGGCTCAGAATATGCTGGACACTTTGCCACATTCAAAACAGTCTC